TCTTTCTTTCTTTCTTTCTTTCTTTCTTTCTTTCTTTCTTTCTTTCTTAGCAGTACACACTATATCTGGGGAAAAGCACTAAATAGTAATAGCTAACTGAATCTGATGAAAAGCTTCCCCTTAACTTTATGAATATGATTCTTTATGGCATACATTCTGAGCTGTGGAACGCCTAACTAAGGGCTTTGTTAATGAAAACAAGAATAAAGAATGCTTTGGTATGTAGCCCCCACTGGTATTTACCACAGTTTACATTGCAAATACAAGACTGTATTGCATGTTGTGTTCTCATGACCTGTATTTTACTTAAGTGCTTACAGTATTCTTAGGGTAACTGTATTTCTCAAAGAGAAAACAGGACACCCACAGCTGCTTGCCCGAGGCCCCCGCACCGCCATGCTGTTACTGGACACTGGAACTCTGCCTCCTCCCCTGCACCAGGCTGTTGCCTGGTCGCTGAAACCCTGTGGGGGGACCCTTGTATGCTGGAACGCTGCTTCCCTCCCCCGCCCTACCTCCCCACTGTGGGGGGCTGGCATCTCTGCTTGCCCCCTCTGTACTGCTCCCCACTTTTTTGACAAAAGTGGGCATTTGTCCTATTTGCTCTTGCCAACTGATCAAGTCAGCAAGTCAGCAAGAGCAAACGGGGCAAATGCCTTCTTTTGGAAAAAAAGTTGGGATGGCTGGGACAGGGCTTAAAAAAGGGACTGTCCCGGCCAAAACAGGCCATATGGTCACCCTAAGTATTCTCTCTCTTCTCTCCCTGTCCCAACCCCAACCCCAACCTCAAATATTGTGTGACTCAGATTTTGCAGAGCTTGATGTTCCAGCAATGGAGTAATCAAGTGTTACCTAAATTATTTAAAGCCTGGGATTAAAGGCCTTAGTGCTGAGTGCTGACAAGCTTTCAGATATAGACTGGGGAAAGTTTTGTATTCTTTCCTATATGTATACACTTTGAAAATAATTTGGAAAAGTGCAGTGAATTATTCTCAAACTGTATGCACAGAAAGAATGAATAATTCTTTTACAAGTTGTTCTCCAAAGGAATTAATAAGACTATTCAAAATACAGTGGAAACCTATTACACACACAATATTGTGGGATCTCCAGTGTCACTCTTTTAACTACTTTGTTCCTTTCACAGGTGCTTTTTGAAAGCAGTTCCATTATTTTACTCTGGTTTGGTTTGGCACACAGAGCATGCATTAATTCAACAAATCTGGCTGTTTCAAATGTTAATCTTCTTTACATGTTGAGGCCTGATCCTGCATTGCTTGCTCTCCCTAAATTGCCATTGACTTCAGGTTCCTGTGTATTGCAAATTAGTGATGATAATAATTAAATTTGTCATTTAATTTACAGAAATTTAGTTTATAACAGCTAAACTAACGCCATTTCCACATCTAGGTTTGGTGAACTGGACATAGGATTATTTAACAGTACCATTCTTTTCAATAGGTTTCCTTGTGAATGGTTTCAACATTGATGGGTTATATGTGTTACTATACTGAACATGGGAAGAAATCTTTAAAAGAAATGGTTTATTGCATTCTACTCTGTTATATTGTATAGAAAAACAGACACAAGGTATTTCAAAAAGTATTTTCTGTTGAGCATTCACTGCACGGCATCATAATGCTATCCCCTTAACCATACCAGTTAAAGCTAATGCTGCTCATGCAAAATAGGAAAGATTTTCCAAGTTTGTTGAAAGAGGAAAAGGCACATGTCAGTGTTAGATTTGGTTCAATGTTAGATTTAGTAAAGGTTCACATCTGAATAACATTAGCACATTCTTTTATGTTACCAGTATTGTTTATTTTTTTACATGTATTAAATAGATTATTTTATTAGGTCAGATTCTGTTACTCTTACAAATGCTGAGTAGCACCTGACTATATGAATAGTCCCGTCAAAATCTGTGGAAACACCCATGGAATAAGGGGACGTCTACACTACAACAATAGATCCGTGGCATGGCCACAGCTAGCCTGGGCCAGCTGACTCAGGGTAGTGGGGCTTGGCTGCAGGGCTAAGAATTGCAGTATAGACATTCACGCTTGGGTCTGGAGCCCAGACTCTGAAACCCTGCGAAAGGGGAGGGTCTCAGAGCCCGGGCTCCAGACCGAGCCCAAATGTCTACACTGCAATTTTTAGCCCTGCAGTCTGAGCCCCATGAGCTTGAATCAATTGAACCTGGTTCAGAGACTCGGTGCTGTGGGTATGTCATTGCCGAGTAGATGTACTTTAAGATACTATGCTACGTAAGAAAAGACAGCAAAATTTGGCCCATAGGAATGAATGGGACTATTTGAAGAGCAAGGTACTATTTAATGAGAGGAAGGGTGGTAGAACCCATCCTTTATACAGCACAGTATCCAGTGCTTTAAAAACATATTTTAACATATTGTATACTTAAAACTGTGTGGGTTAAGTAAGAAAGATAGACAAAGACAAGACACTGGAACAGCTAAGATGAGCGAGGCTGGTGGAGATTGTTGGTGATGAGAAGAAGGAAATATTGATTGCAGGAAGAAGTAGGGCTTAATGGAGGGGAGGCCTGAAGGGAGAGGGCAAGCGTGGTTGGTTGATGGAACCAGGATAAGTGTACCATGCATAGGGGACAGCATGACAAAAAGTGTAAAATTGAGGATGGAGGAAGAACACAAAAGGAGCATCAAGTTCAAATGACTGTGAAGAGCATAGGGAGCACGAGGTGTTCTTGAGTTCTTATATTTAAACTGATATTTTAAGGTAAAAAGCCATTTATAGCCAGAATAACAATCCAAAATTTGATTTGGTACATAACACATCCTGGGCTTGGATCCTGGACTTCTTATTAAAAAATAACCCCATCTGATGTCCATAGGCATTTGGTTTTGCCTGGTCTGAAGAAGAAGAGCCAGCCCAGACTCAATAAAGATTGTTTTAATCATTTGTGAGTTATATGTGCCCTGTGATGTGTTTTACTAAGGGCTTGATTCTGCCCTCTGATACATTCGTGCAAGTAGTTGTGCATGTATGTCTGAGGGCAGAACTGGGCTCTACGTTTTCAATTCTATATATGTAGAACAATTTTTAATAAAATGAAGTGTGTCTGAAAATTTGGCAATGAAAGCAAGATATATAGTCTTTGCACAATGTGTGTTGCATGTAGGTATTGCACACGCATGTACACACACACACACACAGAGAACCATACTTTTAAGTGGGCGTGCAACATCTGGCTTGTATGCACATATCGAAATCTACCTGTGAAAAACAGAGATTGCAGGTGCACATTTTATCTTGAGTACCTGCAGGTTGGATGTGGGCAAGAGTAGTAATAATACTTAGGTATTATATAGCATTTTTAATCAATAGATCTCAAAATGCTTTTCAAATGGTAAATATCAATATGCTCATTTTACAGATGGGGAAACTGAGACATGGGGAATGACTTGCCTAAGGTTACCCAGGAGGCCAATGGTAGAATCAGGAATAGAATCCAGCTCTCCTGAGCCCCCATGTGCACTACTCTATCCTACAGACCACACTGCCTAGGGTATTTGATAGGCAAATCTGGCCCATGAAATCTAAT